AATGGGCATTTTACCTAAAAATCGTTTAAAACAATCTAGACCTTTCGAAAATGCAGGGCTAGATTACTGCGGTCCTTTTCTTATCAAGGAGAAAAAATTTAGAAATAAAGTAAAGATAAAGTCTTATGTAGTCGTCTTTGTTTGTTTTTCAACGAAGGCCGTACATTTGGAGCTGGTTACAGATCTAACCACCGAAACATGCTTAGCAGCTATTAAACGTTTTTTCGGTCGCAGAGGTAAATCAAAAAATCTCTATTCTGATAATGGAACAAATTTTGTTGGCGCCAAGAATGAAATATTGAAAATAAAGGCTTTGCTATTATCCTCTAATCATAATGATAGAATCACGCACGATTTATCAAATGAAGGTGTCAACTGGCATTTTTCACCACCGCAATCGCCCCACTTTGGAGGCTTATGGGAGGCTGGCGTTAAACAATTCAAATATCACTTATATCGCACTGTTGGCGATTCCCTGTTTACTTATGAACAATTTAATACTTTTATCATCGAAATCGAATCAATATTAAATTCCCGTCCTCTAACACCATTATCCTCGGATCCCAATGACTTTTCAGCCCTTACCCCAGCTCACTTTTTGATTGGAGATTCACTAATGAGCATACCAGAACATGACTTCCAGGATGTACCAACAAATAGATTATCATTGTGGCAACACATTGTCAAGGTGAAGCAACATTTTTGGAAAAGATGGCATAGGGAGTACTTTAATGAACTGCTACTACGTAGTAAATGGCACAAAGGTGATCCCGAACAGATAAAAATTGATACACTGGTCACCATTAAGGAAGATAACATCCCACCTATGCACTGGAGCATGGGACGCATCATAGCCGTTCATCCAGGCGAAGATAAGATTATTCGTGTAGCAACCGTGAAAACAAATCGCGGAATATACAAACGATGCATCAAAAAACTATGTCCATTACCGATTGAGATACCTGAAAGGGATTGACCAATATAGTCTTATATGTATAATTGTTAACCTGTCAACTACCGCTTTAGTAGTTGTCCTATTCATACTTTTAAGATTACTAATATTATAAACTTGTATTAAGTATGTAGCGTATAGTTATACCTTCCAGCTATTAATGAACTTTATAAAGTATCTTATTCACTTAGCATATGTATATATCTTTAGAGTCAAATTCACAATGCTGTTCCGCCTTTTCGAGTCCCCACAGTGGTTTTTGATTGGCGAGGATAAAATATCTATGTATATTCAATTGTTATAGAACACAGATCAACTTTGAACGCGAATCGTTCAAGGCGGGCGACGTGTTGCGTTGCAACAAAGCATATGAACCCATCCAAAATTTTCTATATACGTTACTGTGAGAATTACCAGGTAAAACCTATCCATACAAAACTAAACGTTTCCCAAAGCGGTCAAAAGACATTTCCACGAAACTATCCTCGTAAAATAATTTAAGTTAAACCTAGAAATTCACGGAAATACCACTTTATGACGGTCAGTGCCATGCACTCATTAGCAAACGTGCGACCTTTGCAACGTGCACTAAAAACGCCATCGGTCATATACCTGCGCTGGTGACGTTCTAGCCACCCTTACAGACTTGACCAGCAGCCCTGATTGGCTGTTGCCGACTACACAAAATTACTATATAAATCCGATACCTGTACATACACTAGACATTCTAATAAGTATCGTTCTTCGAAACGGAACGCTGTCAAATTCAACGTAGAAATAAACTATTCAAACTGTTAAAGTTAAACGTAGTTAAACGTTATTCGTGGCATTCTACATATTTCTTCGCACCACCCACAAATATTCGAGTAATATTAATTTATCACTCGAAGCGTACGAGTATTACCACATATCTGCACGCATTGAACAGTTAGGACAATTACAATAAAGAAACAGCATGCAGAAATTCGAAACTTCTCGCCTATAGGAGTTTCTTTCAAGAAACGAAGAAATATTGTCCGCAAATATTGGCATGCAACGAGGCAACGTCTGCCTATTCAAAAGGGTTCGGAACGGTGATACGATACGGGCGTTTGATACAGGTGGATACTCGGCTTTAGAGTGCATGAATAGGCAGGATATCGGAAAAGACTTCGTAACTTTTAAGGACCCTTCATGACTTGGTCGAAAACAACGAATTTGATATGGTCTATCATAAATTAGTCTTTCAGGAATTTTAGAAGTGAAACTATTCCATTCTCTGGATTTCCGGCCTTCTCTCAGCTCGATCACCCACGTCGAGGGGTTTACAATCTAATCTTTGTCTATTTATACAGGGAGATTCTCTCGGCGCGCAACACAATAGCCGCCCCGCACAATGGAACCCTGCTGTGTTTGTGGGCAAAAAGCCTAGGAGGTCAAGTCGCCGGACCCAAAACACACAGAGCAGTCTTGGGTCCGGCGACGCGCAGATGGTGCTTAAATTTCGCTCTTGATTTACAACCATCGATAGAAAAGGTCCTCGATTGATATTCGAGACATATCGATACTACAGACTATTGATAAACATTCCCATGGCAATGTTGCCATACCACTCTAAACATATTCACGTGATAACATTTCACGTTACACATCAATATCATTCATAATGTCCGTTCATCTAGTGAAAAAGCACTAAAGGGGAAGGTGCCCCTAGGTCACGCACGAGCGCGCAGCCATTATGCCTCATTCGCATGAGAAATACCTTTGTATTTCAGGAGAAAAGAAATTTTTTCAAATAAATGCTTAATCGGAGAAGTGAGGCGGTTCATTCCTCAACGAGTAAAATATATAATCAGCACCATTAAAAACTCGGTTGTCGAAATAATTAATTGCGTCGAGCCTCGGCCGGCGAAGGTGGCTCCCTCCGCCCTATAGAATGGTGCACGAAACTGCGAACGCAGACCGTGATTCCATACCGAACCGGAAGCTGCATAAGAACCTTTCTCTCGCACTGTAACTTCTGTCCTTGTTTAGCCCCATTTCACTTCGACTCCAGGCTCGTCGAATGCCATCCTTGTCGTTTCGCTTACGTCGAGATAGCGCGAAACCACCTCTCGTTCGAATGCCTCGATTACTTCTTAGCCACATGCGATACTTCTGGTCGGAGAGGTCACGTGCCGTGTCTACCCCCTTAATGGGAGATCTTCTTCTTTCTTATATGTATCAGTTTCTTTAATACAGGAGTAAATCCAAGCATTGAATAACAGCGAATAAAATGAAACAGTTTCATCTTATTCGTTTTTTTCCTTTTTCTCAGAAATCGTTAGAGGTATCAAAAGACTTTATAAGCAACAGTTATTCGCCTTAAGGTATAGTATCTTTTATGCCTCGACAAAAAATTGTTTAAACAATTACAAAAAGTTATAAATGTAAAAAGGATTGTTCCCAAAAGCCTCTGATTACCTTGTTTCCCAAATTCTGAGCTATTATGAAATTTGAAACACCAGAAGTATCGCACGTGGCTAACAAGGGAACATCAGAGACTGATACACTCCGATTTTGATGAAACTTTGCATAAAAAATTAGACCTGTTTATGAAGATAACTGTAATTTGTTGGTGCCCGTTTTTCACTTTGAGGCAGATATCAACCCTTTTATCCGAACCGCCCTTTCTATATACGTGCTTATAAATCGTAAACAACAAAAGATATAAAAAAATAGTTGAAATAAAAGTTATACCGTTTCTTGAGGTCTATAAAGTTTTTCCAAACGGAGGGTGAGGGGGAATTCAATTTTGCAAAAAGGATGATTTAAAAGAAAAACTTACACGCAGCTTTATAGACATCAAGAAACGGTATAACTTTTATTTCAACTATTTTTTTATATCTTTTGTTGTTTACGATTTATAAGCACGTATATAGAAAGGGCGGTTCGGATAAAAGGGTTAATATCTCCCTCAAAGTAAAAAACGAGCACCAACGAATTACAGTTATCTTCATAAACAGGTCTAATAAATATTTATGCAAAGTTTCATCAAAATCGGAGTGTATCAGTCCCCGATGTTCCCTTGTAAGAAGTAATCGAGGCATTCGAACGAGAGGTGGTTTCGCGCTATCTCGACGTAACCGAAACGACAAGGATGGCATTCGACGAGCCTGGAGTCGGAGTGAAATGGGGCTAAACAAGGACAGAAGTTATAGTGCGAGAGAGAGGCTCTTATGCAGCTTCCGGTTCGGTATGGAATCACGGTCTGCGTTCGCAGTTTCGTGCACCATCCTATAGGGCGGAGGGAGCCACCGTCCGAGGCTCTACGCGATTAATTATTTCGCCAACCGAATTTCTAATCGTGCTGGTTATATATTTTACTGGTTGAGGAATGAACCGCCTCACTTCTCCAATTAAGCATTTATTTGAAAAAATTTATTTTCTCCTGAAATACAAAGATATTTCTCATGCGAACGAGGCATAATGGCTTCGCGCTCGCGCGTGACCCGGTGGTAGGGGCACCTTCCCCTTTAGTGCTTTTTCACTAGACGAACGGACACTATACTATGATTGATATTGATCAAATCCACAAGAGTGGAGTTTGGAGGGCCTGGTTCTCACGTGAAGTGATGGCAGTGACTATAGATAGTAGAAAACTGGACATACCTTTGTTACCGAAGAGTGGTATTATCTATAGTCACTGGTGATGGGTAAACTGTACTTTATTGGACCTTTTTTTCTTTAATCTATAGTTTTTGATGTGTAGAACCCAAAAATGCAAGTTAAACTTTAGGAATCCAATGGTTAAAAAGTTATGAGCGTGTAAAGTTTGACATTTTTAGTGCAGTTGCTACGTTACTGTGATGCCATATTGGCTTCTTGTCCAATGAACGGTGTCGCTAGCTGCACGCACACGCATGTGGGTGCATTACGACTCGCCCCATAACCCCAAATATATATAATCGTTCAAATATTTATTACATCATTACAAATTCTTTTACTACTAAATTACAGTGTAAATATTATATTTAGAGTTTAATATAGAAGAAATGTTTATAGTTATGTAATGATCAAATGTTTTAAGTGAAGTTAAATTATTGCATTATATTTATAAATTAATAACAATAAAATGTTTTTTATTAAAATTAAATCATGTTGTGTACTCAGTAAAATCGTCCATATATATACGTTTGTTTGCTTTTGGTGACAAGTCATCGCTTGCTCCATCTGGATTATTATTTATTAATTCTTGTAATACACGATTTCTGAGACGTTTTATATGTCGCAAACGCTCCAACCAATTAGAGGCATATGGATTGTGACTATTTTGTTCCAAAGATGAAGAAACCATTGAAGCAAGCTATAGTAAAAATAAATTATTAATAATTAAAATTCTATTGTGATATAATACGGAATTATGAAATATTGCAGCAAAAATTAAAATTACATAAAAAGTATAATACTTACATTTGCATGAAGAGCAAGCTGTCGAGACAGAATAGCTAAATTTTGATCAGAAATAATTTTAGGTTCATTATGTCGAATGTGTTTTGCTAATTCTTCTTTTACTTGAACTGTCACTTGGTTCGTACCATGATCTAAAGGTTGAATTACAACACATGCATAATTGAACTGACCCTAGGGAATAGGAAAATAATTATTACAATTGAATTATATTATCAAATATTATGATACATACTTTTACAGTTTGTATATTATAGGCTTCTCCTGATTCGTTATAAACGACAGTAACATAGTTATTTCCTATATGCTGTTTTTTAGATGTACACTTGGGGTCACTTACTTTTGTTGGCATCAAAGTAGCTACATGAAAGGCTACCTGATAGGGTTGAAATTTATTATTAAGTAATTCGAATTATAGAAACATCAGTAGTTCGTATTAACCTGTGTAACGTCATCTTGCCAAATATATGCAAAGTTTCCATTTTCACCATTACGATCTAAACCTCCTAAAAATACACTTTCATCAATATCCTTTAGTCGAACCAATGTTCCCAGGCGTTGTAGAAATTCTGTGTATCGAAGGGATCCATGTTGGTTAGCCAAAATTTCAATCTCATTAGAAGCTTGCCCTGGACCAACATAAAGAACTCCAATCTTATGAGTTTCATAGGGTTGTATTCTATCTAAATTTGTTACTGCTCTTTGCACAGCTGTTGTTTGTGGAACCAGTAGAGGTTTTTCTGAAGGAGAACCGAAGTGTGCTGTGTGATACAACTGCAGAAATACAAAACTGTAACATATAATATAGATATAAAATATAAATTTAATAACAAAAATAATTTATATACTTAAAATTAAATTACCTAGGATTAATACCAGTTTTTGGAGTATCTTTTATTCGTGGTGAATTTCCTCTACGTATATTGTCCCATTCTCCACGCGATTTCTTTACAGGACTCATTACAGAAATTGTATGACCTCTGTCGCGGAAAGGTAACGGCAGAGGAGGTAACATTGAAGGATCAGGTTTTTCTTCTTTCTAGAAAATGTGTACACAATTTTGGAACAAAATAAAGACATAAACAATATGTAATACTTACAATTACATAACACAAAACACAAAGTGTGCTATGCAAATATCTGCACAAATATTTATGATGTTAAAAAAAGTAATGTGTAAAATTGGTGTGCTCACACCACATATTTTCAATAAACTTATTTTCTTAATTCAGATGAAATTATACTTTTCGATGTTCAAATATTAGCTTATTTGAAAACAAAGAGCACCAAGGAAAATCATATAGGGTACCTGCCCCTTGGCCTAGGGCTTAGGAATGGTTATAATTCTTCATTGGGGTTCATTTGAATAAAAATGGCTGAAGAATTTAGTCAAACAAGTGTATGAGCGCTGAGTTGACCATTGACTTTTTGGAGGCCAGTTTATCAAAAACTATTATAGGCCGCGCCATACTCTCAACTGCATTTAGTAGACCTTGGACAGTAGTACTAATGCATATTTTTAGATTTGATCTATAATGCGCGTCTTTGACTGGTTTTCGGAAATGGTCATTTGGTCATGGGTCCTTTTTGGCCATGTCGGAGGGTTGAACCGGGCCAGTCTATATGCCTAAAAGTACCTCTAGTTAATGCCTACAAATGAGGGAGTTTTGAAAAAAATCCCTTCGTCGGAACATGTCGCAAAATCACAAAGTATGTTTCAGAAAGGTTTTGCAACAATTGAGTTCTACTCATTGATATCTACAATTTAACGCATTTTAATACAAGTTTTTCAATGCAAAAAACTGTTTAATTTTGAAACGAAACATGCAAAAACTTGATTATAATGTAGGGAAATGATACACAATGTTCAGCTCATTTCAAGAACATCGCCCTCATCACCCTCTTCCACATCACCATCGAGCTCCTCATCGTCCATCTGATCGACATCCGGCTCCTCGGTCACGTCAATTTCGTCCACTGTTTTTCTTCGTATTATATTTCAATTTTGCGACATGTTCCGACAACGTGATTTTTTTCAAAACTCCCTCATTTGTAGGCATTGACTAGAGATACTTTTAGGCATATAGACTGGCCCGGTTCAACCCTCCGACATGGCCAAAAACGACCCATGACCAAATGATCATTTCCGAAAACCCGTCAAAGAGGGGCATTATAGATCAAATCTAAAAATATGCATTAGTACTACTGTTCAAGGTCTACTAAATGCAGTTGAGAGTGTGGCGCTACCTATAATAGTTTTTCAGAAAATGACCTCCAAAAAGTCATAGGTCAAATCGGCGCCCATACACTGGTTTGACTAAATTCTTCAGCCATTTTTATTCAAATGGACCCCAATGAAGAATTATAACCATCCCTAAGCCCTAGGCCGAGGGGCCGGTACCCTATATGATTTTCCTTGGTGCTCTTTAATGATTATAATTACCAAAGTCCTTTTAAGATTAAGGAAATACATTTTAAAAATTCGATAATTAATCTTAATATCGAATCTAACTCAAATAAAATAAAAAGAATAGAAAAATAAAGTGTTTTAATAGTTTTGATATAATAAAATAGAATAATTAAAATTTTATCTAATTAACTATTTCTGACTTTGAAGATATTTGTAACGATATTTATGTTGCACACTTTATGTTCCCATCCCATACACACTTTAATACCTTATCTATAAGGTGATTTCTTCCAAGAAACGATTTATTTTCTACTCCTAATGAGTTTTGACTAGAATCAAAATTAGATAACCGAGAATAAATTTGTGTTGGTGATTGTGGAGGTTTCGTAGTGGTCATTTGTGTTGTGCGTCCTTGTATTCCCAAAAAGTTTCCTTGAACCTATAAAGGTCCACACAATGTTTTTACAATATATTATTCCACATTATTATAAAATTTATATTACGCACCTGTGTGGTAGGTGATGGTGGTACAGTATTGCTAATAGTGGTAGTAATAATTTGAGTTATTTGTGTTGCACCTGGATAAGAGCGTTGTGATTTTAAAGCAATTGGATGATCTGATACATTTTCAGATGATGGGGGTGTTGTACTCATGCCAAACATTTCTTCTGGTATTGCTTCGCAACTAACCCTATTACAAACAATATTTTCGTTTGTTATGCGGAATGTATGCATATGTTATGTCATACATGTATACGTGGAAAAAAAATATATACAGGGTGTCCCAGCCCAAGTGTGACAGAGCTGTTATTTCGTAACTAGTAATGATACAAAAAATTGTTGATATGGAAATTGCACGGTAAAATGGGAACTAATTAAAATCAGGTGTACATATTCAAGCTTAATAAATTCGTCTTGAAAAGCACTATCACATGATCTGAAAACAAATATATAGTTCCATTTAAAAAACAAAACATGACCATCGTATCTCTTAAACTAATAATGCATAACATTTTTCACTTCTTCCAAAACATAGCTCCCATTTTACCGTACAATTTCCATACCAACAATTTTTTGTATCATTACTAGTTACGGAATAACAGCTCTGTCACACTTGGGCTGGGGTAGGACCCATGGAGGGATGATTGCTGAAGTCATTCTAAACAACTTTTTCCTTTGCCAAAACGTTGGTTAAGGCTTCATTTTCGAGTTATTAACGAAAAACACTGGCCAATCAGAGCGCGGCTCTAGCGCGGGCCGAACCGCGTGAGTGTTGGGATTGCTCTGCGTTCAAACCGTGGTCATGATCAAGTGCATCGGCACCACATCGGTGTAATACAGAGTCATTCTCTTGCAACGCAAGACAAAAGCCGTGCCGCACAACGGAACCCCTACTGTTCCGTTTCTTGTATTCGTCACAGCCATAAACATACACAGAGCAGTTTTGGGTCCGGCGATATGGCCCCTGGGTCTCTTTACCCGCAAAAACGGCTGGGTTCGATTGTGCGGCACGGCTTTTGTATTGCGTAGCGAGAGAATCACACTGTAGGATTCGTTGGGCAAAAGTTGTATCGAATAATGAATAAAAAAAAGGGCTGTAGTTCCGAATGTCCCCGGTCGCGGATCGACATGAAATTTGGAGGGTCGATTGGAAGCCGGTAGACAACCCCAAATATAAAGTGGTATCTTCGGCTTCCTATTAGTTTCCGAGATATTAATTAAAAACTTTCGGTACAATACATAGACTTTTGCCTATACAGACGTAACTAACACAGCCATCTTCGCTGTAGAAATCGTGGTCGTCGAGTGTCAAGTAGCCGATGACACAGTAGGGGGTTTCGACCTGAGTATCTATAAGGTGTCTCATTCAGTTGTGATCATTGTACCATTTTTTAAAGTAATTAGTCTTGTGTTTAAGGCCGGGGGAGGGGCGAAGCCCCTCCCCCCGGCACCCCCGCCACGGAGAATATAGCCTAACCTAATCTACTACGGTTTGATATTCGTAGACGAACACAGTGTTACCTTCTGTTCGTATATGTATAACTGGCAAATTCGCCTTACATATGCCTTACATTATTGGGTAAAATTCTGTGTAGAGTTGTTTGCGAATATTTCGACAGCTTGTTATTTCCATTAAAAACAAAAATCATATTCGTATTCAGCATATCAAAACGAGTAGAACGACGAGATTAATGTAAACGTGAACCACAGTTTACAAAGTAATGCACTTTATACATATAGAACACCCTGTAGATACCCAGGTCGAGACCCCCTACTGTGTCATCGGCTGCTTGACGCTTGATGACCACGGTTTCTACAGCGGGGATGGTTGTGTTAGTCACGTCTGTATAGGCAAAATTCTATGTATTCTGCGAAAGTTTTTAATTAATATCTCCGGAACTACTGGTCTGATGTGGATACCGTTTTATATTTGGGGTTTTCTCCCTCCCCCCTCTCCCCCCTCCAAAGCCCATGTCGATCGGCCACCGGGGCAATTCGAAACTACAGCCGAATATTAAATAAAAAGTGGGGGTTTCCATTAAAAATTTTTAACTTGACCTTGATAGCTCCTCCATACTTACGCTCAAGGTCAAATACGTACCACAGTTTGATGCATCTATTGAAACCCTACAACTTATGTATCAAATATTTCTTTTTTAAATGTCTTGTTTTCGAGATATTTCACCGGTTCCGGACTTTCCCCTTACCCTGTATGCAGATACAGGGTGTTCCAGAAATTAACTATTCTTTTCGGCTAGCTTTCAGAGGCTACACGCCCCTTTTCTTCCACCGCTCGCCGTGCCCCGTGCGAGGGCCGCAGTCCTCGAGACACCTTAGATGCGTGCAGTATCAACTTTTCAGGGCGCATTGGGACTACACTCGTATTAATAGGTTTCCACATCATCCATACGTTCGATTCATACGGTACGTGCCTGAGGTGCCTCGAGAACTAAGGCCCTCGCGTGGGACACGGCGAGCGGCAAGAGGAAAGGGGCGTAGCCTCTAAAAACTGGCCGAAAAGAACAGTTAATTCCGAGCCTTGCCTTGGAAGGATGATTGCTGAGGTGATTCTGAACAAAATGTTAATTAAGGCTTCCTTTTTGAATTATTATTAACGAAAAACACTGTCAAATTAGAACGATCCTTCAAAACCATAAATGGATCGTTGACTTCAAGACTAGGCAGATTTGTTCGGGCACTGACCCAGGATCTGCTCAGCTGCCAGCTGTTTATAAGTGAAACACGCGCTTCGGAAGTTGATATTTCAATTTTCAATTGCTTATATCTCGAAACCGCAGATTGTGCTGATGTGGTGTCGCCGCGCTGGTTCATGACCACCGTCCGAACATAATGAATAGCCAACACACTCGCAGTTCAGTCCGCGCTCTAATTGAACAGTAGTTTTCGTTAATAATTCAAAAATGAAGCCTTAACCAATATTTTGCCAAGGAAAAGTGGCTCAGAATCACCCTCCAAGGGATTCTCACTCTTTCCAAGACACCCTGTATATTAAATTTCAAGGTTTTAAAATTAAATTTCCAAATGTTTAACTTTTAGAATTTGAATTGGAAAATTTAAATATCAATTTCAAAATTTTTTAATTCAAATGTTACGATTTAAATATGTAGTTTTGTAGGTTCTAAAATTCAAATTTCAAGATTTCAAAATTCAAATTGTAAAGTTTCAGAATGTGAAATTCTAAAATCTAAGTTTCAATCTTTCAGGAATCTAAAATCCAAATTTGTATGTTTCAGAATTGAAGTTCCAAAAAATGTTAATAATAAAATGAATATTAAATAAAATTTTCCTGAGTAAAATTGTTATGAGAAGAACCTACCATGCTCGTTACTATACAAACAGTAAAGTATTACGACTAAATACAGTAATGCTTCGAAATAAGCAAGTGACTCGGGACCGAACAGTTGCTTATTTCGAAGCAGGTTGCTATTCGGCTTGACTTTGTTCTCGAAACGGGACGATAGAGAACGCGAGAAACGAGTGAGAGATCCGAGGTAGCGGCAAATCATAAAGTGATCGGCCGAGCAGCAATGTTATTTTTTGAACAAGGATAGAATATAGCATACCCTCTCATTCTCGCACTATGCTTTATTTCGAAGCAAATATACCCGACTGAGAAAGCATTATATATATTCTATCCTTCTTTTACTAACCGCTGTCACTGCTCAGTCAAGCGTGAAATTTATTACCCTAAACATCGGCTTCGCGCTTTCAAGGACCTCTCACTCATTTCTCGTACCTCTCACTTTGCGGGCGACTTCAAACAAAGAAGAGGGGATAGCGAGTTGCTTATTTCGAAGCAGAAACCACTTGCTTATTTCGAAGCATTACTGTACACCAGGCCTGTCTAACCTACGGTCCGCGGGCCACTCGTGACTCCTTCCCCTACCACGCAGCTCGCGCTCGGCTCTCTCCACTCTTCCAGTTGGTTTCCCGACTCTTCCAATATTTGACGCGTACTGTTCGTTGTTGTTAAGTTGCCGTCCAATCAAATTCGTTGACCTACCTCCAGTCACACGTATTATGTTTATTAGCCGAGGCTCCTACATCCACAAATCTATCACGTGATGAACGTCGCTAAGGACAGACATTGAAACGCAATGAGATGAAGCGATAGCGAGCGATGATTCGGACGCATTGACGTAGACGTAGATTCGGGGTATACATTATTAAGAAAACAGGAGAGTTTTTACACTTTCCATAAATTTTGTATAATAACAACTGTTGCCAAGAACGAGTATTATAAAAAATCCATTAATATCCCAAAAAAATCGCATGTTTATATAGTTAAATGTATCTTCCGCAAATACGGAAATTTTACGCCTATGCAATGTGACCGCTGACTTCTCAAGTTACGGGTTCCTGGAGGGGATTAGGTGGAGCGAACGCACAGTCCCCTTGTCCCTCTGTCGGATCAGTTTGTTGGTGCTCGGCAACTTACCAGAAACGAACAGTACCTATACCTAGTCACCGCTGCCCCACTACTGACACTACTGGATGGTGGAGAAAGTCTGAAGCGGTAAGAGTGGGAGCAGTGGCTCTTTCGCTTCTAGCAGTTAGACTGGCCTGAACTACACTAATATAATAATTAAATATCTGTGTATCACACATTTACTTACTGTAACATTTAATGAATTAATAGTTGTACTAATATTTATTAAACAGTATTAAAATAATAATACCTCATGTCTTTTGTATACATGCTTTTTGCGTGCTTTTTCAATTCAGCATCAAGTTTAGCATCTACATCTGTCGATGGAAGTTCTCGCTCCTGTTGAAAGTTCAATTTATCTTTATTCAAAAATGGATTTTTCCAATTAGCACTCATTTCAGGACTAGAGTTTGATCTTCGTACTGGGTTTCGAGAACGACGTAAATCTATCAACAATATTTATATTTGAATATGCAATTTTTAAATATCATGATATATATAATATGCTGTACCATCTTCGCCGTCTTCTAAACTTTCTAAGCTGTCGTGTGAGCTTTGTCTTGAAGGACTCGGTCGCACTGGTGAACCAGGTATTGCAATTGGATCCGTAGACACAGAAGAAGTTATTACAGATTTCGTAAAAGTATTATAATCACTTCGTACTTGATCTTGATGGTTTTTATCTCCAGTATCCTATAAAATTTTCTAATAAATTCTTTTACATTTTCTTAATTACACATTTTAACATAGAATATGTTATTACGCTCGACTCCCCCAATTTTGTGTTACGCTAAAGTATTCCCCGGTAAAATAACGAAAATGTGTGACGCTGCCAGAACAATAATGGCTCGAGCCGAACCTTTGAATGTCGCCAACCGTAGTGAAGGACAAAGAGCGAAAGAGAAAGAGAATTAAAGAGACCGAGAAAAACATATCGATGAGACAATATTAATTCAACAATAAAACCTTTTTATTTTTGCTAAATGTAATTGTACCAATGTAATTGTACTTTTGCCAATCTAATTGTAAAATTTTTCCGATTAAAATAAGACCAAAGATGATATAATTTGAATTATATTTACTTATTTACATAAAACATAATATAAATAAATAAATAAATAAATAAATAAATATAATTCAAATTATGTCTTGTTTGATCTTGTTTTAATCAGAAAATCCTCACACACACCAGTAAAAATTTAATTGCAAAAAAAATAAAAGATAAAAAAAGAAATGCATAGTTGCGGTAGTATTGTCTTGCCAATATGCCAGCTCGGATCAGGTTACACGATTCGTCCGTAGACCTTCGTAGTTTTTTTATGGCAACAGAAGAATAATATAGTCCATGTTTACAATTTTAATCAACAATAAAACTGTGCCGTTTTATAAATGGACTTTTACCTCATCTCCAGAACATTCAGATGGAGATTCTTTCTGCTTTTGCATTAAATCCTCACTTGGTTTGTATAAAGCTACTATGTCGTGTACAGGAAAGTCTGCATACGTTTCGAATTGCATAGAATTTTGAATTCTCATCACCCAAGACATGTCACCCGTAGGTCTGCGTACATATATTTCAGCCCAACCTTGACACCAACAAGCACAAAGTACGTGCTCTTCTTGCTTTTCACTATTAAGTATTTGATCCAGTTTTGATGATTCAACTTGATCTTTATCCATTTTTTCTGCAGAATAATCTTTTTTTGGTACATTTAGATCATCTGTCATTTTTCTAGATTCCTCTGTTGGAGAATTTGTATTTGCATTAGAAGTGCTGTGACCTCCGGAAGACTGTCTGGACAATTTATCTTCTTTCGTTACCTGTACATGTATGTGTGCAATTTTATCAAATCAATAATAAAATAAATAAAACTAAGAACATGTATTCGTAATACCTCAGCACCAGATGCACGTCTTAAATTCAAGTGGGTTGTTTTTACCTGTTCAGGCGACTGAGAATTAGGTTTACATGCAACCCAACAATTATCACAAAGCCCTCCACGCATTGCTTTATTACTGCAACCACTAGTTGTTATAGTGATAAGTTTGTTACCAAGGAGCCATGTCATCGACTGGCCTTCTTTAAGAAGAAATTTTGCAGCTGGAAGTCTAAATAAAAGAGAATTCTGATGTATTCATATTTTCTGTAAATAATAAAAGAAGAACTAATAATAAATTTACCTTTTAGGCCGAGCCGAGTAAGTTGAAAATGTATACCGAGCCATGAGATCAATACAAGTTTCGGTAAGTTCAACATGGAAAGTCATTAAAGCTTCATCAATTGGAGGTTTCAAATCTGAAACTTTACCATCACCTATCATACGATTAGCCATTATTGGCCTTTCTCTTCGGCCTCTACTACCCTATAAGTAAAAGTAAAACAGTGAATAATGCATTGAAACAAACATTCCTTTTTAACTTGTATATACCTGTTCTGTTAAACTTGAACTACGCTTTCTATTTGAGGAGTCTTCGTTCATAAAATTAAAATCTGACTTCATTAAATGTCCTTCTTCGAAAGGAACTATTACATTAGCTTTTAAGCCCTAAATATAAAAATATTACTTTTAATTTTTATTACTGTATTTTTGAAATTTGATTATATACATACTGTAGTAATAAATTTAACAAAGTCTCTTCGAAATGGTAAACGACATTTCAAAAACCATACAGCAATTACATGATGTGCTAACGATACTGTGTAATGGTCGTACTTAAAAGGATTTGTATATGGTAGTAAAATTGCGAACACTGACATGTATTGATCTCCAATGAAATTTGCGAAAACTTTTGGAAGCCTTGTAAGAGCTGCAATAAAAAGATAAATAAATACTGTTTATACTTAAATAACGCAAAAGTTTTTATACTTACTAGATAAAAATTCTAAAATTGGTATAGCTATGTGAACTGTTGCTGAAATTTTTGATAAATTTAAAAGAACTTCTGATAACAGTTTATTCATTGCATCGCGCATTTCTAAAATACAAGTTGTGAGACTAGTAACACATTGACTTGCACACTTTGCTTTTAAACCAACCTAAAATATAATAAGTTTTAAAAAAGTCTTTATAGTTGAAACAATAAAAAATTAATTCTATTGTTTACCTCAAAACATTTTATTAAGCGTTGTTGTAAATTAGGTTCTAAATGTGCATGATACGAAGCTAATGATGCCAATACTGGAAAAACATGAACACGAAATTCAGAAAGAGTAAATTTTGGAGGGACATTATAAAGCGACTCTGGAAGCCTTAAACTTTTGTCACTGACCTATAAAAATATGTTATAAGTCCATAATAAACATCTCAGAAGATAACGTATAAAATAAACATACCATTGAACAAAGCACTGCTGTAAAATCGATATCGTTTGTATGTCGTGATAATATTAATGCTCTGTTTTGCATTACTTGAGGTAATTCTTTTAATACAAGTTGCAAAATTTTCCAGTCTACAAGAACGCAACAGAATTAAACTTTAATTACTAATTTCTCTGTATGAATAATTCTTATTCTTTTCGGTATGAAAAGTAACTATAGTTATTTGAAACGCTCTTCAATTGTACTTTGTCATACCGAAATGGTTATAATAATATTTAAAATAAACTACATATAAACCTTTTTCTGATTTAATACAGGAAATAACAGCTTTACATGCGTGTACCAGCGATATATGAGTAATCTGACAAGACAAGTGCTGTAACGGAACCGGACTAGCTGGTGGAGGGCTAGTTCCACCACCTCCACTGTTCATTCGTTCAGTTGAATGTTCTAAAACTAAATATGGACTAAACTTTATTGCTAATCCATTTTCAGTGTCCAAAAATCCAAGATGATAAAGAGAGTTTGCTCTAATTTTTAAGAAACATTCAAAAATCTAAAATATAGAATTTTTTTAATAAGATACAGTGATATGAAATCTTAAAGATTATGTATTCCAGACTATTTATACATTACCAAGTAACGAACTGAAGAAGCATCATGGAAAATGGACGGTTCTTTATAGTGTTGTTCTAAATGATTAACTAGAATCTTGTAAGCACGTATAGCATGACTTGATGGCAAACAATAAATTTTTGTTGTTAATATTTTTATTACACCAACTACTGCAGTCTTCACATCTTTAATGTCAACATCTTTTAAAATTGGAGTGTCAGAAGTGAAAGGTTTGTTAATCACCTTAAAAAATAATAAGTAATAATATGTGATATTAAAATTAATATACGTAACGTAATATGTATGTTTAATACCTTCTCAAGTATATCTAGAAGTTCTAAACATCGTTTTGTATCACATTCAAGGCAAAGATCAACAATTAAATGTGCGACACTGTTACGTATTGTGATATCTGGATCCATATCAATATGTTGAAAATATGGCACGATTATTTTTTCAATCAATTCATCTTCATACCTGAATCTGTATAAGAATATAAAATAAAAATTCATGAAAAATAAAATTCATTCATTCATTGTCTATACCTATTAACTTCAATGACATTCGTTAAAACATCAAGAATTTTCATCCTGATGTTAGTACGTGTTTCAATTTTATAATAACGCTCTATTAAATTGGCTAATCTAGATTGCCACTGATAATGAGTAGGTCCTATGGTATATGCTCGATATTCAATTAATTTTAAAACAGAAGCTTCCTAAAGAGAAGAAATATTTAAAATAATTATAGTATTTAATTTGACATTATTGAAAAGGAAAATAAATAATTACAGGTCGTGTATCACTGCAACGTTCAACAAGCTCATAAAACCGTTGAACAGAGCCATTATAATGATTACTATCCAGTAAATTTTCAATACTGTTTATCGTTTCGTGCAAACTTACTGAAACTTGTCTGGTTGCAGGTTGATTACTAGTTTCTGAAAAACAAATATATATTCCTTGTAAGGCTCAAAAAGTGAGTCCACCGCAGTATAAAAATAATTTTAAGTGTTTATTTACCTGTATGAGTAATAACTTCTTTGATAATATCAAGGATAATATTCCATGTAGGATCCCATAATTCAGTACCATATTTATTTACTAATCTTTGTATTGATAATGTCACCTCATACATAACAACCGGATGATTACATTTTAAAGCCTTGCAAAATGAAATTTGTAATAAATAATATAAGTAATAAAAGAATCTTGATTACATCAAACTATTAATGAATTTTTACTACCTACTTGGTAAAATGAAGGTAGTACAGATGTTGGTGTACACTCTAACTTTGGGATTCTATGTGTTCCCCAGAGACCCATATTTACATAAAACACTGCGCCCCGTAGTAAACGTACATCTTGTTGAAAACTTGGATCTTGTAACATACGACACATTGTATATAGTGCAGAATGACCCATGTGTGTACCTAATAGATTACGCATTATCTGCAAGAAGTCATTTATATTTTTAATTAAATTAGACAATTAGAACATAGCTAATGTGTACAATTTATGAAATTTTATAACATACTTTCCAACTTATTTGGCAATATGTTTCAACATTGACGCTTCCACACAATGCTATAATAAATGTTTGCAATGAATCAGATTGTAAATTACTGTAACAAACAATTGCATCTAAAGCTTCTAAACATCCGGAAACAACTTCGTTGCTATTACTATAGTAGCACAAATGGCAAATATATCTAAAAATATAAAAAGTAAAGTACTTTTTTTCTTATAAATATTATGTAATGATTATAATAAACAACAGAATATTTACCGAACAAAGCCTGATATAATGTCTTCATCGATGTAAGCTGAATTGAATTTAATGACATTAACTAGAAGCGACAAAAATTCAGCACTTCTTTTCCCATCTCCTGCAGTCACAACAGACATCCAATCTAATAAAAAAGGGCCTATTCTTTCTTCCAAATGTAATATATCTTTTCCATTTTCTGTTAAACTTTGTAAAAGTTCCAATCTAAAATAACAGTACATCACTGATTAATGACACAATAATAATTATTAGGTAATGTACTTTATAATACCTAGGTCCAATATCTTCAGGAATATTATGTTCTTTAATAACCATGAAAAATTTTATTCTCATAAGAGAAGACAACTTAGAATATTGTCCTTGAACAAGACACCGCAAAAAATTTAATGTCACATGTCTATGTTCACGAGGTACATCTTTGTCTAACAGATCTTGTACCAAATACCATAATCGTTCAGCAGCATTCTATTGAAAGATAAAAATAAAACACATTGCTATACATAAATTTATTATTAAGTACAACATACTTACATCTTCCCACTGCTGATTAAGAATTGGATCGCAAAGATCTTTAATAGCTTTAGTACGATAATGTACAGGACTTTCATGACTTATTTCTTTTTCAAGATCATGGGTTAATATAAAATCTTCACGACTTTTATGGTTTCCTAAAGAAATGTATACGTTCTGTAAATTATTTATTAAACATACGTGATGCATAACTTTATAAACAACATACGTATTAAGTTATCATTATATTCTATATACAAAACAATAAAATGAAAGTGAAAAATTAAATTTACAAACTTACCTTTATTGATACGAAAAAATTGTTTCAATTTATCATGTAATGTTTTGTTATCTTTATCTTTCGAGCTCATTTTCGACATTTTATTTTGAAAACTTAACATAAAACACTAGAAGACAGGGAAAAACAATTATGACGAGTGATAAACATATTAAACAAATTTAAATAAAAGAGTTCAATTAAACGTACTATGTAAAGAAACTGAACAAAACGATACCAAACACTATTTTGCTGTAATCCATGACAATGAAAATGCATAAATATATAATAGGTATATGAGAGCATTAAAGATATTGATAGTTGTTGTTGCGCGATCTACCGGTAGTTTCCAAGATTCAAGATAGGGTTAGGTCAATAAAAGTCAGCCCTAGGGGCCGTATTCACAATCGCAACTTAAGCAAAGACTTAAGACGTTCTTGTCTGCGTTGTGTTATGTCAATGCTCATAAATTAGGAGCTAAAATTCAAAAGATCGAGCGAGCGACCATATACAACAAACAAAGAATGGATTGTGAAACACTCAACGTGGGTGATCGGGCTGAGAGAGGACTGGAAATCCGGAGAACGAAAGTCGCGTCACTTGAAAACTTTTCTATTATTTATTACGCGCCGTATCTAATTCGTTACTCTTAACGAAAATCATGTTTGGTTCTTGAAGTTGTCGAAGTCTCTTCGACATCCTGTTTATTCAAACACGGGTCATAAATTTAGCACGAGATTTTTTCATTTTCTGTCTTTCTCTGGGTCCTACGCTCTCTTAGCACGTGTGCATGGAATCGTTCTCGTATCTTGGTGGAGCATCACCATTTCCACTAGCTTGAGGGTGGACCGAAGCCAGGGAGAGGGACCGCGTCCGAACAGAGATGGGCTCCTCCACCATTAGACCAGGGATGATCCTGAGGGAGGATTCAGCACTCAGCGAAGAGGGGATGCCAGCCGACATCGATCGAGGATCTTCACCGCCAAGCGCAGATCGATTCCAAGCTTCAAACCGCTTAGATACCTTTCATAATCATTCATTTCTTGAATAAAGCAGTTAGTACTTTATCAAAACCCTAAGGAGTTTGTTTTATTTTGCGCGCGGCAAGCAGAGTGTTTCAGCGCTCCACAGGCACCATACTCACGTTCCAGAAATCCCTGAAATTCCCTAGACCGCAAAGAGGACATGCAACACTACCAATTCCTGCCGAAGACAAGAAGGAGAGCAATATGAAATTACGAAGACAGGAATCAAAAGGCCATTATCGACCACATCGGATAATCCACCACCTACACCCGTGAAACTAACCGATAGAATATTTAAATACCCAGACCCAAATCTAATCCCTAACAAAAGAAATGTCTAACAAAAAAAAAACGATCTATATCACCTTATCTCCCGCCGGCAAAATTAGAAGCAATGCTCGAACGGCATTTCTATGTTCTTTGGTAATTCCCGCGCTAAATGCGCGCTCTGATTGGCCAGTGTTTTTCGTTAATAACTCAAAAACAAAGCTTCAAACGACATTTTGGTAAAGGAAAATGTTGTTCAGGATCACCGCAACAACCCCCCATTTCCGGGAGTTACAGGAGTTACGAGACACCCTGTATGATGGTGCATTAATCTCGGAAAAAATTGAAGTTAAGCATAGGAGTAGTTTTAGAGATACTGGAGGTCAAAGTGACTAAATTCTCACTACTCACAATATTGTCCTAGCACTGTATACACAAAAAAAAGGTCAATACTTCTTTGATAACAGTGGGGATTTTACTAGAATTAGTCAAAATGATTTTCTGACTCCTTCATCTCTGTTGTTTAGTATGTTAAGGGTTGTTTAATATTTAAAACTACCCTCAAAACAGTTTTTATTGAATTTCTCGAAAACAAATGCAGATACGAAAGAATATTTTAGACAAAAGTTGTTTGTCTCAAAATTCTACATAAGAAAGGTCTTTTTTATTTTTTCGATAGGACTAATCCTTCACTCGAAAATCGCAGCTGAAAAGATATAGTTTCTGAAAATAACATTGCAATATAAGCAGCGATTTTTTATATATGTATATGTATTTGATGTAGAGGAAAAATCAGTTTTTCAACATAGCAACTGGCAACTCTTTATTTTAATTCTTTATATTTTTATAGAATCAGATATGATTTTCGCAATTTCTGACTAAAGGATTAGTTCTATCTATTCTAGTATATAGTGACAAAAAATATAATAATCTAGAATTTTTTTTCGACATCAAATACATATATAAAAAAAATCAGTAGTTTTAAATATTACACAACCCTTAAAATACTAAACAACAGGGATGAATGAGTCAGAAAACCATTTTGATTAATTCTAGTAAAATTCCCACTGTTATCAAAGTATTATCAAAGGCCTTTTTTTGCGTATACAGTGCTTGGACAATATTGAAAATAGTGAGAATTTAGTCACTTTGACTTCCCGTATCTCCAAAACTACCCCTATGCTCAACTTCAATTTTTTCTGAGATTAATGTAGGTACCATCATATAGAATTGATTGGCACATAGTTTAATTTGAAATTCGAGTGGGAAAACATGGGCGAAATTTGGGATGACTCTTTGTTGGAGAAGTGGAAAAGCTGCCGGTTCTATACGATGAACCTAATATTCTCTTTTCTGTTCCCTTTTTCACTACCATATTTTCTTCGTCACTAGTCAGTACTTGACAAGATTTTACTTCCTTGCATGGTAGATCACACTTAACTGAAACAACTTTTGGTACTACAGTAAAACCTGGATAAGTACAACCGAGATTGGGACCCAGTGGTTGCATTTATCCAAGCGAGGTGTCGAATCTCGGGTTACACGCGACGCCAGCCAAGCGTGAACGTAGAAAGAGACAGACAGTGGAGAAAGAGAGAGAGGCCCAATGATCAAAGGGAAAAGCCAAAACGTATTGGTGTGACTAATACTAATTCAACTATAAACCTTTTCTAATTTTGACTTTTTTTTAATGAAACTTTTACTAGCGGATTGGTGATATTTTTCTTATTAAAATGATACCAAACACGATATAGTTTGAATTATAATTACTTGCTAAAATTGATGTTAAAAGTTGGCGAAAAGCAAGAGAGTCGAAACCAAAACCAGCCGAGGTGTCAGCTCTGTGTTTTCAAAGGTTTCATTTATCCAGGCGAGGTGTCGATTCTGGGCATTTAAATGTTGCATTTATCCAGGTTTTACTGTATTGAGTAGCTGCGTGTGCGGAATCGACTCTCTAACCAGTACCTAAGTATTAGTTTGTGATTTCAGTCACCAACTAATTATGTTTCTGCTTAGTAGCTTCGTGTGCGGACGGCCTTAGAGGGTCTCGTCAAACAAATCCCTTCCCCTCCTATGATCGTGGGCGACTTCAACAGCCATCACCATCTATGGGGATCACTTAGGACGGACAGCCCTGGAAAAACCATTGAAAAGTTACTTGAGGACAAATCTTATACTACTCAACACAGGAAGCTTAACACATTTCACTATCAATCCATAGTTCCGAAAAAAAAAGAATAGAATAGAATATGGAACTCGACCAGTAGATCCAAGATCCACAACGTCATCCAGAATTTCTACCAAAAAATGTCCACCTCTAACATGAGCAGGAAAAATAAGATAACTCTGACCGGACTCAGATCTGGACACAAAAATTAGTCACGAATACATATTAAAGAAAATCCAACCCACCGTTCTGTAACTGTAACTGCTGCCATCAAATACTTTCCATAAACCACATTCTTTACGAATGCCGAAGATTCTCGAAAGTCAAAAACAAAAATTCAGGCTTCACCCAACTCAGTATTGACTGAACAGAAACACCTTAAAGATACTTTCAGTTACTTAAAAGAAATTCGTTTATACTATGAAATCAAACGGCAGTAAGAAATGAAAATTATAAAAAATTACTAAATCTCTTCTGTCGCTAATGATTAAGTAGTCGAAGCGATATTAAACACAGATACATATGTAAGCATAGAAACCGCGACCTGGAATATTCCCGAATCTTCAGGGATATCCCCACCACCGAAATAGACAATAGGCCTATATGTATATGTAACGGTCCGAGGACTAGAGAGAGAATTAGATAGATTATGTCGTTGAAGATGACGGCGTGGTTCTGCGACTGGTGTGATACGATAAAACAAATTATAATATTAAAACGCCCAAAGTTAATTAAGATTACGGTGAGATTATTTATTTTTCCTCGCCTACAGATACAAAAAAAGATTGATCTAAGGATTCTAAAATCATTGAAATTATTAATCTTGACAAAAATTATTTGTTGTGTAAGAAATTATGATAATTATTTAGTAATACGGACCACCCTCCAATGACCTTGACCTTGACAACATATGTCAAGGTCAAGGTCATTGGAGGGTTGTCCGTGTTACTAAATAATTACGGAAATGTTAGAAAATTCGAAGTAGACGAACGGTTGAGGCAGGCCATGTGCGTTCTGTCAGCGCAGTTCCCCTCTTCAAGGGAAAATCCTCCAACTTGGGGGTGTCATAAACAAAAGGGCATACTGTCAAAGGCGTTCTCATGACCGAGGATTTTTGGGACGGCAGGACATTCTTGTTTTGACCGTCGACGTGTACGACTCGTTAAAATAAAGAATACGTTTTGGTTGTAATACGCCCATCGTTTATTCACCTAACCACGATTTTAATCCACCGCTCTTCTTTCCTTACAAAAATTATATATATACATAATATGTATGTAAGTACTTACTTACTACATACTTAAAAAAAACAAACAAGAGAGTTAGAAATTTCTACCTGTATATTCATATCATTTAAATAATTAAATAATACACAACATAAAAATAATATCGATATAATGAATTATTTGATGTAATGTTTTATTTCAAAATACATGAACTGTCATACATATATATATACATACATGATGACATAAGTCACAAAACCGTTAATTTAAAATATAGTTTAATAATGTAAATACATAGTTATAAAATAAAATAAACTTTTATGTGCATACAAAATTAATACAAAAGATTAGGAAATATATATTTTACAAACAAATTTTACGACAACAACTTAGATTATGTTTTAATGGATTTGAAATATTCGGAAGTATTTATATATCGCGTATATAAATACGCAACAGACGTTTCCGTTATCGAGTATGTGCATGAAGAGTTGTAGGGTTGTATTTCTTATGAAAGACGTTGTTGTCGTGTAATTTAGTTCTGTTTGGATATCCAACAAAAATATTATAATTAGCTACATTCATTTCTGTATAACTAGTGTTACTTTTATCTATTTTGTTAGAGCTGTTAAACAGAAGTTTTCAATGTTTTCTTTTCAACCTCATAGTCAGGTTTGTATTATTAATTTGTACGTATAATTACAATCAGAAATGGTTTTAGGTTCAATAAATAACTCACAATTTTTTCATATTTATTCATAGTGCACAGGTTAAACCCAGATTTGATTTCTTTAACCATGTTTATACATTTTCTAATAACATAACCTTATTTCATTGTAATTGTGTGAGCTGATGAAATTCATATTATTGTTTTACAGTTCTCATAAATATATATATATATATTGAAAATTAATCTTTTAAAACGTAAAGTAAATAGTGTTTTATATAAATATATGTTTATTTTAGTTAAAAAAATTATATAATTTTGATTACAGAAAACCAATTACCATTTATCATTTTTAGGTGTTATATCATCTGACACAATTAACTTCGATAGTCAATTCAAAATCTACCCCGTTTTCAGCTAAAATTAAGAAACACAATGAGATTAAAAAAGCTACAGATGATGTTTTGCCTATTAGTTCATCAGAAGTAAGAAATATCTTTTTATTTGTTATTTAGAATTATAATAATTACTTATTAAG